CCAGCAGGACACCCTAAGGAATAGAATAGTGGGTGTTAAGTCCTGAAGGCAAAAACACTGTCGTTATGATTGTGCCTTCAGAACATATTTTCCACTTCTGGGTTAGATGATCATTTATGTTATGCACCTGCATTTGAAAGCTAAGTTCCTATGTGTGGCCAGGAGAGCACCAACATGGAGATTTCACACTCTTACAAGTTTGCAAATAAATAGTTGTGCCTGTGTTGTGAGTGTCAAGTTCAGTGAAGTCTGGGGAAAAGGGATCATAATGGTCTATATATTCATTCATTCTTCAGAAAAGATTGATTGTGTTCATGCCCCCAGTACAGTACTATACACAAAGGATACAACAGGGCCCTGCTTTCCTGGGAGAGACAGGAGCAGATGAATACAGAAAAGAGCATGCTGTGTCAGTGCAAGGCAAGGAATGAGAACTGGGCAGTATGGCTGTGCAGCTGGGTCAGCGTGGATGATCAGGAAGAGGCTATCTGATGGGCTGGCTCCTATGCTGAGATTTTTCTTTTCTTTTCTTTTGAGATGGAGTCTTGCTCTGTCACCCAGGCTGGAGTGCAGTGGCATGATCTTGGCTTACTGCAACCTCCGCCTCCCAGGTTCAAGTGATTCTCCTGCTTCTGCCTCCCAAGTAACTGGGATTATAGATGCCCACCACCACACCCAGCTAATTTTGTATTTTTAGTAGAGACAAGGTTTCACTATGTTAGCCAGGCTGGTCTCGAACTCCTGACCTTAAATGATCTACCTGCCTAGGCCTCCCAAAGTGCTGGGTTTACAGGCGTGAGCCACCTTGCCCAGTCCTGAGATTTGAAAAGCAAGGAGAGCAGCTACATGATGGTCAGGGAAGATAACTTGGATGCCACAAAGCCCTTACTGTATTAATATTGGTTATCAGGGGAAGAGTGTTGTAGGCCAATGGAGTAGCAAGTTAAGGCTCTATGATGAGGGAATGCTGGGCAACTTGAAGGAAAAGCAAGGTTGCCTGTGAGCTCCAGAGTGGCATGGAGACCAGGCAGGGCCACAGGTGGAGGACTGAGCCTCAGGGTTAGGAGTTTGAATTCTACTAGGCATACAAGGAAGCCTTTACAGAGCAAGCAAAGGAAGGACATGAGACACTAAATGTTAAGTGAATGCCTCTAGACTCAATGTGGTGGGTGGGTACCAGCAGGAACAGCATGTGCAGCAACGGAAGTGTGGTGGCTCTGGACTCTGGGCTGTCGGAGCCTAACACTCCTTCTTGGACAAGTGGGGTGGCATTTTGCCTGTCCCCTGTGGTCACCACTGGGACTGTGCTTCCCAGCTTCTGCAGTGCTCTGTTCCAAAAGGGAAAGTCGGCATCCCTTGCCTTAGGAGAATCCCAAGTATCTAGTAATGGAAGAACCACACCTTTGAGGAAAGCTTGAGACTGGCCAGTCTGCCCACTTCTTAACAAAGGGAAAGGCACCACTTCTACCACCAGGAGATGCCTGCTGAGGGGCACAGCGCTGCTCCAGCTGTGCAGAAGCTCACACAGGCCTGCAGCAGTTATTCATCCATGCACAGCTGCCACTGGCCAGCAGAGCCGTTGACCGGGCCTTCACAGGTGATTCCCAAGAATCAAAACGACCATTTGTACTTAAAATAATTGCTTCACCATTATTTCCAAGAAGCTTCTGAATGTTTCTGAATTCTGTTAATTTCAAAGAACCCACTTCCTCTGTTTGAAAAATAGGTATTTTAATGACTGCCGGGGCACAGTTCCATGAGCCATTTTAGTGTGCAGAATGTTCTGGAGGTTTTCAGATGAAAGATCTCTAAGGGCCAGAACTGACTAAAGTCATGTAGGCCACCTCTAAAAGACGCAAGACTCGAAGACACATACTAGCATCAAAAGAGGGGTCCTATGCCCCATGTCATTCAACTTTGTTGTGGCCACAGTCATCACTGGTGGCAGCTGACTGGTGACGGGGTGGGTGCGATTTTCTGCCGAATGCTGGTGATTCAGGATGAATAGCAAGTTCTGAACTCAGGAATACCATCTGTCTTCACAAGGATTTTCACTTATTTGCCTTAAAATTTGTAGAAGATTTAAGTAAAGATCCTGTCAGCAAAACCTAACACCACCATCCTGAGATAAAGATTTGCTAACCTTTCTTCTAGATCAGAACAGCAAACGTGATGCAGGATTCCCTGAGGTTGGAACTGGATTGACACATGTTCCATATTCTGTTTTTGTGTACTCAGCTTCAACTGCCATCCTTTATATTATCCTGGGGGAAAGGGGGAACCCACATAAATAATAGATACTGGATTTGGCCAAGATCATTAGGCAAGGGTGCCGTTCCCAAACAATGATGCCTTGCAGGCACAGGGATGGAAAATTATCCCAGGAATGCGATACCACCAAGTCTGAACACAGAGAGGACGCGACATTGGCACAGGCCTGCTGGGTCTTGACTTCAGCCTGCAGAGGAGCTGTAGGAGGCTGGCAGACTCTGCTCACAAATGGGAAGGCATGTCTGCCTGTGGCTTTTCCTCTCTGCCACTTCAACACCGTTTCTGTGGGGGTGTGTAGACATAGCTTGAGGTTTTGTATCCACCCTGTCAGTTGGTGAGACAGAGAAGAGATGGGCTGATGGCTATTGGGGCACTATTGCAAATAGATGGGGCATTGTTGGAGGCCCATAGATGGGGCACTGTTGGAATTATATTGGGAGGGATTGTGAGTGCTGGGAGCTTCCATTCAGCTTGCTCTTCTTCAACATTCATGCTCCTGTAAGATGAAATTCACATTATGCTTTTATTTATATATTTTATTGTTATTATTATTATTTTGAGATAGGGTCTTTCTCTGTCACTCAAGCTTGAGTGTAGTGGCATAACCATGGCTCATCGCAGCACTGACTTCCCCAGCCCAAGCAATCCTCCTACCTCAGCCCTTGAGTAGCTGGGACTACAGGCACGCACCACCATGTGAGCTAATTTTTAAATTTTTGTAGAGTTGGGGTCTCACTGTATTTCCCAGGCTGGCCTCAAACTCCTGGACTCAAGTGATCCTCTTGCCTCGGCTTTCCAAAGTGCTATGATTACAGTCATGAGCCAGCACATCCAGCCACATCATCCTTTTAGAAAGACACATTCAGGCCAGGTTCAGTGGCTCACAACTGTAATCCCAATACTTTGGGAGGCCAAGGCAGGTGGATCACTTGAGGTCAGGAGTTTGAGACCAGCCTGGCCAACCCCATCTCTACTAAAATACAAAAATTAGCCATGCATGGTAATCCCAGCTACTTGGGAGGCTGAGGCAGGAGAATCACTTGAACCCAGAGGGTGGAGGTTGCAGTGAGCTGAGGTTGTGCCACTGCACTCCAACCTGGGTGACACAGCTAGACTCTGTCTAAAAAAAAAAATTTTTTTTTATTAAGAAGGACAAATTGAAATAGGTCTAGGGGAGACACAGAAAATATGCTTTAGGTTAGGACCTGGCTTGTGTGAGAGGGAACAATAACTGCAAACGTGGAAAACTGGTAGAGAGAAAAAGGATGAAACTCATTTTGTATCACTCTTAACAGTAACTAGGATGACAAATGGAAATATCAAAGGAAAGTTTCCACTCAATAGAAATTGAGTGTTTTCTGATAACTAGAACAGTGAAAAAACAGAGGGGTTCCCGGTGAAAACACCCAGAGTTCAAATTCCAGGTCTGACTAACCACCTCTGTGACAATAGGCACGTTAGACAATGACTCTGAGCATATTTTCTCACCTATAAAACTTGTATGCTTTTGACGATTTCTTGTTGGTGTTACCAACTACATGCCATGTTCTAGAGACCACGTTCCACCCAAGAGTGTAAAAAAAGGAGGGGCGGGGGGAACAAGTGCTGCAGTTTGCCTTCTAGGGGGAAAGAAAGAATAAAAAACGAAGTGAAATACCCACTGCACAGTGATCAGCATGATGAGAACAGCACAGCAGGGACAGACATAGCTGTAGGTAAGGTATGGCTGTGTGTGAGCTAGTACAAAAACTCTCTCCCTCCTAAGGCATCAAGATTGAATGAAAATCACGCATCTAACACCATCCACATACAGTAAACAACAAGAGAGAGGCACTGATCCCCTGGCTCTTTGGTGTTCCATGGCTCTGCAATGGATGAGCTGTAAAGAGAGGCACTGATCCCCTGGCTCTTTGGTGTTCCATGGCTCTGCAATGGATGGATGAATAGGTTATGCCTCTCATCTGTAGTATTATCTTGAGAAGTAATAAGCCAATGTATGCAGTGTGCTAAGAGCACAGTGAGCCTTTCAGGCCATCTGAAAGCAGATAGCAACAGGAGTTGTGCTCTTGTTGGGAATGCTCTAAGGACAATCCCATTAAACACATCACAGGCAGGGGATTTATTGCTCAGATGGGAGGTGACTACTAAGGTGTGAACAAGTGGGAGAAGGTTTCCTTGAGCTGGCAGAGCTCATTGACTACCAGTGTTAGTTTCTCTTTTGCATGAGTTCAAACAGTCACCTGAATCATTCTTACTCTCTAACAGTTACTTGTTTTGTTTAACATAAGTTTGAGCTGAGAACTGAGACAAGCTGACCAGAGCAGGCACTCCTGTTCTCTGCTCTTGGCTTCACTATCTGCACTGGAGGCCTGAGGACTGCATATGACCATCAACCTCTCTCTCAGCTCACACACTGTACAGTTCTTGAACGTACATGGGATCTGAGCAAGGTGAGTGGCTCTAGGATGAGAGTAGACTGAAATGATCCATGAGAGGAGAGGTGCCTTCCACTCTGCAGATGCTCCTTACAGCAGCAGTCTCAGCATCAGCACAGGGACACGTCACCAGGCTGCTGGGTCAAAACTGCCATGCTCGGCTACAGCTCCTGCTGCTACTGCTTGGTCATATTTATTAAGCACTCACAGTGCTCCAGGCCCTGCAAGCACTCTTCATATATGTCCTTATGTTAACCAGAGTTCCCCAGAGAAACGGAAGCAATAGTACACACGTTGAAAGAGATTTATTGTAAGCTATTGGCTTACATGAGTTTAGAGGCTGAGAAGTCCCATGATCTGCCCTCTGTAAAATTCAGGAAAGCTGGTGATGTAGTTCAAAGGGCTGAAAGCTGGAGATAATGTAGCTTCTAGTGCAAGGATGAAGGCCTGAGAACCAGAAGTAGTAGAGTCAGGAAAAGATCAATATCTCAGCACAAGTAGTTAGGCAGAGAGCAAATTTCATCTTCATTGGTTGTTTTGTTCTATTTAGAACCTCGATGCATTAGATGATGCCCATTGACACTCTAGAGGGCCATTTGCTTCACAGGGTCCACTGATTCAGGTGCCACCCTCTTCCAGACACACCTTCAGAGAGACATATCCAGAAATGTTTCACCAGCTCTCTTGGCATCTTTTAACTCTGTCCAGCTGACACATGAAATTAGCCATCACAGAACTTTTTTAACATTCACAATGATCCTATAGGGTTAGTACAGGCATTTCCCCATTTACTGTGGAGAAAATTGAGATGGGAAGAGGATAAGCATTTGCCCAATGCAAGTAGCTAGAAAATGGTACGCTGGGACTTAAACCTAGACCCATCTCATTCCAAAGCTTGATTTCATCAACCTTTGTAAGTCATTTGTGTTTTTAAATAAGTTCAAGTGGCGTATGCATGTTCTCACTCATAGGTGAGAGTTGAACAATGAGAATACATGGACACAGGGAGGGGAACATCACACACTGGGGCCTGTCAGGGTGTTAGGGGCTAGGGGAGGGATAGCATTAGGAGACATACCTAATGTAGATGACAGGTTGATCGGTGCAGCCAACCACCATGGCACATGTATACCTATGTAACAAACCTGCAAGTTCTGCACATGTACCCCAGAACTTAAAGTATAATAATCAAAAAAGTATTGTTTGCATGAAAAAAAATAAATTCAATTGTCAAGTGGTGTAATGGCTATCCCGTGGGTGCTGCATTCTCACTCACATGGTTGGGGGAGAGGGAAAGGGCGGGAGTTGGCATAGTTAGGCTGGGACTCTGCATACTCCTGCTCATGATGAGTGTGTTCCATACATGAAAGTCATTGTGGGTCTCATGGACCAGGGCAGAGCATGGTCATGGAGGGGAAAAAATTGGGACTTACAGCCCTGGCTGCTTTCATTACCCAGAATCATAAGTATTGTCCTGTTTACCTTATAGATCCTACAGAGATAGGAGGGAGAATTCCTCAAAGGCTGGGAAATTTTATGTGGGCCAGGATAGTAGATTTGAGTTGGCCCTCCAAACAAAAGGCAATTCCTATATGGCCGAGGAGAATGGCCTCCCCACATGTTTCCAGGGACATCAGACCAGCTGGACTCGGCTTTCACCACTGGGATGTCTTCTGCAACCTTTGACACCAGCCCAGGAACTACAGCACAGCTCTTAGTGAGGCTGGCCAGGGATTCTCCTCAACATCTGAGAACATCGTTTGAGTATGAGTTTCTGGAAAACACATTTATCTATTTCTTCTGCTGTCCTCCCATAAAGGCAACTTCCTACCCACAGTTGAATTCCTTCAGCTCTTCTGAAACCCCTCTAGTCTCTTAGCCCCCAGGAGGTCAGAGGGGTGTAAAAGATGTCTTGCTTTCTGTCTGAGCTCCACTGTATACCTCTGACTTCAGTGGAGAGCAAGCAGAAATGTAAGGTCCTGTAATACCCAAGTCCTCCCCACATACTCTTCATTCCCTGGGACAGTTATTTCTGGAGAAAAGAAAATGGTGCCTCTTTCATTGAGACGACTTATAGGCCATGTGGTTAGGAGCTGTCAATGGTGTCTGGTCGACAGTTAGCAACAAAGCAGAGACCCTGTTCCCTTTATAACCACAAAGAGCTGAATTCTGTCATCAACTTATTGAGCTTGGGAGATTACCGTAAGCTACAAATGAGAACCGTGGCATGACTAATGGCTGACTGCACCTTTGGGAGACCCTGAGCAGAAGATCCAGCTAAGCCATCCAGACTGCTGGTCGGCAGAAATGTGAGCTCATACGTGGGTTTTGTTTTATGCCACTAATGTCAGGGACCTTTGATACTCGGTGATAAGTAACTATACAAAGGGGAAAAAAATCTCAGCCTCATAAACAGATAACTACATTGAGTTCCCTAAAGGGGTATTTTTTGGGGGGTGAAAGTAGACAGTTCCAGTGAGTAAAGATGCTCCTTGACAAGATACACGTTTAACTATTTCCGTTTTTTAATTTTTAAATTCTTTTGTAGAGATGAGGGCTCTCACTTTGTGGCCCAGGCTGGTCTCAAACTCCTGACCTCAAGTGATCTTCTTGCCTCAGCCTTCTAAAGCATTGGGAATATATGCAAGAGTCAACAGGCTCAGCAATTTAATTACTTTCTTTCTTGGATAAAAATGTACCTATATAAAGGTATACCTTGGATGATTTGAGTTCTCCAACAATAGAGAAGAAATTTTTCAAATGACACATCAATTCCAACTTAATATCCCCATGGAATATGAAAAATGAAAAATAGAAAACCAAGAAAAACCAGTAAAACTAATCAGTAATAACAGAACCATTTTTAAACTCACGTCCTTAAGGTCAAAGTTTCCATGCAAACATTTACTTAAGATGAACGTATAGACATTTTAATAGGAACTAAGGGCAAATAATCATTGAACTATGTTTTCCTCAGTTCCATTTTACTTCTTACTTTTGTCAATGCCCAGCCATGTATTTTTCCATGCTACATCTTATATTTTAATTGTGCTTCTTTAATTAATGCTATTTTACGTTCATAAGTCATTCCATATCTCATTGCAATCCACTAAGGTGTGACTAAAAAACACAGATTCCGCATCATAAAACTTGGAGTCAAGTATAGGATCTGCTTCTTAACAGTTGAGATCTTTTTAAGCTGGTGGCTTAACAGCGCTGAGCTCCCTTTTCCTGAGCGGTAAATACCCAATTTAGAGTTGTGAATGTCAAATCCAATGTGGATGTAATGTATCTCAAGCCTTGTGAAGTGGTCAGAGGTCTGTGAACTCCTTTCTCTCAGAAACTCGCAAATACATAAAATAGACCCAGAATAATTTTAGCCCAACAACTGCAGCGAGGCTGCACCAGGGCAGCGTTGCATGTGTTTCCCATAGCTGCCACTACTGCGGAGAGCTTCCGGGCCTTGCCTTAAAATGAAGACGCTCCTAGCCCTTCAGAGAGTCCTCTTGCAGGGCGGAAGCATGCGCACTTCCATTCAGGGACAGTCTTAGCCTCCTGCTCGCTGGTGAACAGCCTCTTGCATCCAGCATGTTGGATAAATTCAGCCAGCCTCTCCAGATCCTCAAACAGGGGTGCATGCCCTCTGGGGAGGTGGCTGAGATGACAAGTCTCTTTATGGCCTGGCACTCACCACTGCCTATCTTCATCAGATATGAACCCTTCTTTATCCCTGGACCTGTCCGCCCAGCCTTGGGCACAGCTTAGCCACTCATCCCAAGGAGCTGACATAAGACAATGAACAGACCTCAGAATCTGGGGCAGCACTGCCCTGATGATCCCCCACTGCTCCTGACCCTGACATTCCACACTCCTTCCCTCCACTCAAAATCCATCCGCTCATCAGCCATCACCTCAGCCGTTAGTGGTGTTTTCTCCATTGACTTAGATGTCTTCCTCAATCTGAGCCAATAAGCTTTCTCTTCCACCGCTGACTCCTAGGCTATGCCTTTCTCCTCCCACTCCAGCTAGGGGAGAATTAGAAAAGGTACAGTTTGAGCATCTTCATATTGCTAATTTATTAAATAAACATTTCTAACCAACACACTGTATAAGCTTGGAAAGTTTTTAGGAGCTTCACCAAGGTTAATTCATTTAATCCTCACAAGACATTAGAATAATAATAATGGGGACTATTTTTATTCCTCTTTCTCAGATGAGAAAAACCTAGGCACAAAAAAGTTGAGTCCCTTCCCAGGTCACACAGCAAAGAAGTGAAGGCCACATGGAAAGGCAGGGATCCTGGCTCCCACATCCATGCCCTTAACTGCCACACCACACTACCTGGATTCTCCTTCTGGGTGGGTGAGTCCTTCCTACTGTGGGCATTGGAGACATTATCTGAGGAGTCTGGTGCCGGATTCTGCCTGGATTCTCCTTCTGGGTGGGTGAGTCCTTCCTACTGTGGGCATTGGAGACATTATCTGAGGAGTCTGGTGCCGGATTCTGCCTGGATTCTCCTTCTGGGTGGGTGAGTCCTTCCTACTGTGGGCATTGGAGACATTATCTGAGGACTCTGGTGCCGGATTCTGCCTGGATTCTCCTTCTGGGTGGGTGAGTCCTTCCTACTGTGGGCATTGGAGACATTATCTGAGGAGTCTGGTGCCGGATTCTGCCTGGATTCTCCTTCTGGGTGGGTGAGTCCTTCCTGCTGTGGGCATTGGAGACATTATCCGAGGAGTCTGGTGCCGGTAGGCACAGCTTCCTTCACAAGCAGGCACCTTCCCTGATTCAGTTCATTATTTCACTCAAACACGCCATCATCTAACCATGTCCTGCTGCTTAAACTTTTGCTCTCTCACTAACTCTAAAACATTACCTTCAGGCAAATCATCTGGGGGAATTTAAGTTGATTTCAGTTTTCCTCTATCTTTGCACAAGGCATTTAATTTTTTCGTAGGTTAGCTTTTTGTGGGAGGTATTCAGAATGACGAGCTCTAAGTCTGAACAGTGAGCTGATGGCACCAGAAATATTGAATCAATTCATATTGCCACATGATATTAAATGGCTCACTCATAATCCCAGGGAAACTGGCTCTTATAATGTCTACATATTTTTAATTAGGTTTGGAATGATATCTTAGAGATGCTTAATTCACATTTCCTTTATTGTCAGTACAATTGTTAGTATGCACTTCTAGGTGAGAATTTTACTATTTGAATTCATGTATTTCATGCATATTTAAATAGTATGACAGAACTTTTAAATACACATATTAATCTGAAGGGTACAATGCACTTTATCTTTAAATAGGTCATGCTATTCTGTTTCACAAAACAGAGCTTTGGACTTTAGGCTACAAGAAAGCTGAAATATACGAGATAATATTGGTTTTATGTGTATTTTCTGAGCACTCAATATGTGCTTGATAATCAATCGACTTACAAAGTCTTTTCCAACCTTAGTTCTGTGCATAATAATTGTTCCTCACACACGTTGAAAAGGACACATCTCATCCCTTATGATGGAGGACGCAGGAGGGAGGACAGAGCATAGGTGGGGATGTTGAAAGGGGAATGAATATTCCAGAGCTGCTGGAGTCCAGAAGTGCTTGGGAGCTGCTCTTTTCCTCCGCATGTTTAAACTTGGATTCCAGTTGACTTCACAAACAATGGACCCCAGGCTCACGAACATCCTGGCTGAAAGTGCTGTGAGTCAAAAGAAAGCCCCCAGCCAGGGTGTTTCCAAGGAAAACCCTTGATGTAAGGACTGTGTGGGGCACCTCCCCCAAGCATGGAGGAGATTTCCTGCTGCTGGAGGAGGTGAAATTCTGATGATGGGGGCTTTGGGCTGCGCTGATCTGCTCCCCGGGAGAGGGAGGAAGCAGCAAGCATGCCTTGCAAACCGGGCTGAGGCTGAGGGCACTTCTAGCTTGAATAAGGTCGAGTTAATTATGAGGGTCACTCTTGCTGCGACAGACATTTACACAGGTGCCAGATGTTGGCCAGGACTTCTCAGCTCCTTTGTTGAGATCTCAGCCAGCATTTCCTGGCCACGTCAACAGATGGTTCTCTGAAGCTGGCTGGGGAGGAAAGACCTCTTGATAATGAGCTCTCTCGTCTTCTCATGTAGGGAACTTGCATTCCTCACAGTGAAGGATGGAAGCCCTTTGGCCTTGCCCTCCTGCCCAGCTGATGTGATGGGGGCAGGTAAAGGGGTGATATGGGAAGGGGGGCTGTCCTCCCAGTACAGAAATAGTCTCATTACCCAAAGTAGGACTACAGATTCTAAGTGCCAATTTCTGAGGCTCAGGTTTCCAAAAACCAGTATTGGATTCACAAAGAGAATAACTACCTTGTCAAAGGTTGCTACCCATCCCCAGTTGGTAGTACATTCAAGGGCAGGTCTTCTCTGTCCACAGTGAGGTCTCAGCCCTTAGATCAAATGATTGATAAGGGAGGAGGAAGCCCCCTGAATGATGAAACCCCCTCTCCTGTGGAAATCATTTGATCTACGTCATGCTGCATTGGGAGTTCCATTCTCAGATAGGTTGCTCTGGTTGTTTCCATTGTCCCTTCGCAGATAGCAATACTCCAAAAGTCTGGCTTTTCCTGGTAAACCTTCCAGTGCCATTGAAGAGACACAACTGACTTGGCCTTACTTCTTATGTACAATGGAGCCAAATTTCTTACCTTTCACTGATTTAAAAAATATTGCAAATGCCATTAAATTTAAGAAAACATACAGTGGATGCAGCATTCAGCTTCATGTCGTCCCCCCAGGAGGGCTCGTCTTTCCTTTTAGATCCCGCTCTTGCTCTTCATCATTAATTCGTTCCTCTTCATTTTGATTTCAAACATTCTTCACCGTCAGTTGATAATTGATAATGAATTTGAAGAGCATAATGAGTCCACATAAAGGATGAGGTTATTTAATGTTTTCCAGATGCAGGCGGCTGTCAGGAGAGCAAAGGGAAAGGGCATGCTGGGTCTGGAAACCCTGCTGCTCCTGCGACAGGTGCTCGGGGTGCAGGCTCTGATTTCCAGAATCCACATCCGAACTACAGAGTGAAGCCGAAACTGAGTGAATGATCAGGAGTGTTTGCAGAGTTCAGCCACGGTGTTACCACGTTTTATTCAAATCTCCTAGTCCAAAAAAGAAAAGAATACCATGTCCTGTTTCTATCTCAGTTCCAGTGTTTCATTTTGATCAAAATTGCAGTTGCAGAACTGACAGATGAGAGTGAGTGCTTGCAGATGTGAAGACTAAGGTGAAATAACGCAGGGACGACACCTGCAAGACTGGGTTAATGTCACAATACAGATTCGGTCAGTTTTAGTTTCCCAATTAATTTTTCCTTGAGAGATGATAACTTGTCTTGAATTCCAAATTTGTTTCTGAATCAGAGATGTAGGAAGACCGCACATCCCATCTCTGAAATTTTAGTTCCACTGCTTCTAATTCTGCATTATTGTGGAGTTTAACTTTCTTTCCAGGCTTAAAAAGGGCCATTTGAAAATTGATCATACCTACAAATATAAATCTATTTTAAGATACTTTTGAAGGATGACAAGTTTTTGAACTGTTTTTTCTAGTTACCACATTTGTGAGCAACAGGAGAAGTTAGGAGACTCTGGGAACCGTGTACAATTTAACAACTAGAGCTAAAACTCGGCACCTTCAATTTTCCCAGTTTGCCACTAGAGTTGGAGGTGAAATAAAGTAACAAAAGCCTGCAGCCTTCACAATAGGTGAATCCCCTGAACGATTTTCCTCTCCTCTGCTTCCACCTGCTTTTGGCATCAGCATCTCTCCGCCCTGAGTGTTTAATCCTCTTAGGGTCCGATTCTGTCTGGTTGCCCTGAATCTCTGAGAATAGAGGAAGGAATTGGCTCCGATTGAACCATTTGGCAGGAAGAGCAGACTGGGTTTGTGATCCGCTTAGGACTCCTGTGCTCAGCACAATGGCATGGAGAGAGAATGGTGGGCTTGTAGGCACCAAGCTGGTGGGAGAGAGATGTGGGCAGGGCCCTCCCTGTCCCTGCAGGGACACGTGCTCCGCTTCTGTTCCCAATGTGCCAGACTGGCCCTGGGGCTGGTGAGCTCAGAGCCTCAGCATGAAAGCTGCTCTAAACGTTAGAATAAGATAATATTCTTAAAAGTCTTATTAGAAACTTTCATGGGAGGCGATGGGTTTTAGGCAATAAGGATCTGTCTATGTATTCCTTTTATTTACTTTACTTCTGCTAAGCCAAAGGGCTCTTGAGTCCCTCCAGTTTTCGAAAGGTAGGCAGTTAGAGCATTTCCAGGACATGCATCCTTATTACCACAGTGAATGGCAGCTCCCGCCTTCAGAGCCTCAGTGAAGGAAACCCCCGTGGTAAATTAGCCACAGACTCACAGTGCCGGCGCAGCACAGCTATTCACACCGTGTCACCCGTCACGTGTTTCAGCTGCTCTTTCTCTGCCCACCATGTAATCTCTGAAAAAAAATAGAAGCTTTTTTGTGTGCCTGGGGTGGGGGTGGGGACCGGCCTTGCAAATTCCCCTGCATGGATGCAAAGCTGGACCACAGTTGCCAGGGAGTTGTTTCAGCCTCCGTGGAAATTAAGGAGCTCATGGAAGGAGCTTACTCTCCATTTATAGTGAGTTCAAGTGGGACAATAGGTCTGTGTGACTGAGGATTACTCAGCCAGCCACAAAGCAACAGGACCTTTTAAGCTGAAAATCAAAATTGTGCATCTAGTGACCCCACCTCAGAGGAAGACAGAACGCCATAGGGAAGGAATTTTTTTTTCTACTCTCATGATGGCAAAACTTTCTGAAGATGTAAATATCACTACTAAGCCTCAGCCAGAGCCTTTTCAGAATCCAGGCTGCAGAATCACCTTCCCTCGGGATCCACCAAGGAATGGTGAGGGCTGCCCTCAGTGATGACCCAGGCCCATGGTGCAGAGGTGACAGAGGGGTGAGGTGGGCTTGGAGGCAGGAAGAACACCCTGCGGAGGGCAAGAACACCTATGATCAGGCCCAGAAGTTTCTTTCCACTTTGTTGGTGCTAGATCTCCAATCCCAGGGAGATAGCTTTGGAGACTCCTAGGTTAGCAAAGCACATTTAGCAAAGCTTGTAGAGGGGGCATCCATGTGTCCTGCTCACTAAAGGACATACATATTAAAGCAAATGTGTCTCTAAATAATTTCAAGACTTTCCTATGTCAGGGTGGCATTAAATCTTACCAATGGCACTTGCATCAGACAGACATTCAGAAAGTCTTGAAATTATTTCCACCAACAAAGTGGAAAGAAACTTCTGGGCCTGATCATAGGTGCTCAGAAGTTTGTTTTTACAGGATATAAAGTGTCTGCTCCCTGCCTTAAGAATAAATGTCTGCTAAAAAAAATAACTATTTTTAAAACACAGGAACTTAAAGGAAAAGTAAAAGAATAGGTTAAGTGTCTGCTGAAAAGACCACCAAGGCTGTCATCTAAGGGCCACCATGGAGGACCCAGAGCAACATGGCAGATGAGTCTTTATGTGCAAACTCAGCTGCAACATCCTTGGGGGAAGAGATTCTTCCTAGGTAATGATGGGTGGGTTCTGAGCCCCCTAGCCCCTGTTTCACTGCAAGAACTACCCCAGGAACTAAATAAGCCACAGACTCACAGTGCTCAGCACAATGGCATAGAGAGAGAATGGTGGGCTCGTAGGCACCAAGCTGGTAGGAGAGAGATGTGGGCTAGGCCCTCCCTGTCCCTACGGGAACATATGCTCCTATCCTGTTCGCCATGTATCAGGCTGGCCCTGGGGCTGGTGAGTTTAGAGCCTCAGCATCAAAGCTGCTCTGAATATTAGAATAAGAGGATATTCTTAAAAGCCTTATTAGAAACTTGCATGGCTTTAAGAATAAATGTTTGCCAAAAAAAGATAATAATTTTTTAAACACAAGTTTATCTATATAACAAACCTGCACATGTACCTCTGAACTTAAAAGAAAAGGGAAAGAATAGGTTAGGTGTCTGCTGAAAAGATCAAGGCTGTCTTGTGCCCTAAAGTCATCAGCCTATGCTTCTGCTGTCACCTGGCAGACCCACTGAAGCTGATCATTACCAGGAAGAGTGCTAAGCTAGGGCTATCTCCCTCCGTTTGAACAGTGTCCGCCTCTGGCACCTCACGTGGCTCTGACTGCCACCCTTAGCAGAACCTGCAGAGAACACATAGGCTGCTGCTGCCTGGTCGGGGATGGCAGGACAGAAGCATTAGTCCAGCCAACTGTGGTGTCCTGTTCCACAAGAGCAAAGCTCATGCATCGTCTTCATTGAATCTGATAACATCCTGGGAGAAAGATCAAGACAGATACAACTGATTCCATTTTTCATAAAAGCATATAAAAATGGTTTAAGTAAGTTCCAACATGACAGAAGCTCCCCACAATGGTGGTAGAATTATTCCAACCTTCCTCCTTCAGTTCTGTGAGTGTTTTCATTACATTTAGAATGGAATGGATTGAGGTGTACTTGTTTCTCAAATCACAGAATGCTACAATTAAGTAATACTGTTGTGTCCCAATAAATAAGTAATTTTTGTTCAAATAAAAGGAAAAACAGATGGTAACAAACTTATCTCACTTATTCCAAGAGCTGTTTCACCCTAAAAGCAGCCCATGCTACAAAGGCAAAGCTGAGATCTTCCTTCCCCTCCCCATCTCCTTCTCATCTCTACTCCCCTCCTCTGGCTCACCCATGTGCAGATGATTTACCATGACAACTTTGCAATGAGCCCAGAGGAAGGCTCAGAATTCTCAGGGCAGCACCTTAAGCAGCTAGTCCCAGTGCTTGGAGTTTGCCCAGGAAATGACAAATCCACTTTAATATTCTCAACATTTCGACCAGGTGACACATTAACAAAGTTCAATCAGAAAATGTAAAAAATTATGATCAAAATCTTCCTCCTATCACATTCTCCATCTACTCTGTTTCCTCCAGCTCCAAGTTCAGACACAATTAACAAGTCACCATAATTGTTGGTTTCTTATATATTCTCTCAGAGATGATTTCCTTTGTGCTTGTACAAGCAAATACAGATATCTATTTCCCCCACCTGAATATTGCCTATCCGTCTGTCTATAGCTAGCCTAACAATAAATCTTAGAGATTTCCCCATCGGTACACATAGAAGCCTTGTTCTTTTTGTAGTTGCATTGTGTGACTGCATTATGATATATTCAATCAGTCCCTACAAATGGATATGGGTTGTTTATATTCCTTTGCAGTCACAATGAGACACATTTGCATTAATGTGTTTGCCCTTTATTGAACAGGGCACATGGCTGCCTCTGTGCTGAGCTGCCCCTTTGGCGGAGAAGGTCAAATGAGGTAGTAGATAATTTGGTATTAGAGGTATTAGATTATTTTGAATGTATATTATTTCTCATGTATACAGCTATGTAGGATATATTCTTACAAGTGGAATTTCTGGGTCAAAGGATAGGTGTATTTATAATTTACTAGGTATCTCCAGATAGTCATCCTCAGTGGTTGTACATGTTTACAAGCCTTCTAGTTCTATATGAAAATGTCCCTTTCCTGGCAGCCTGACCATAGCTATTTCATCTAACTTCTTTTCTTTCTGCCAAACTGCTGAATTAGAATTTGTATCTTAGTGGAATTTTTACTGAGTATTTATCTTACTGTGAGTGAGACTGCACAGTTTCTATTACGTTTAAGATGCATTTTTATTCCCTTGTTTCTGTCATCTTCAGTTTTGAACTCATTAATAGATGACAGATGCTGTGCTGCTAAGGAGAAGTGGACTGTTCTGAGGTCATACCCAGCCCTGTCCGAGCTTGATGTTAGAAGGATGTGCATCACCATGCCAGCACCAGCATGTAGTACACACCTGTGGACCTTGAGGGAGCATGAGCTTCAGCCACAGAGGAGAGGAACGACCTTCTTGGCCCAAGGAACAGCTCAGCACAGACGCAGCGCTCTGCTGGTCCATGGCTTGTCTGGAAATGGAACATGTCTGCATGACGGGACCCCAGGTCCCATGACTGGAACATGGGCCTAGACAGTTAGGATGGAGTCAGATAATAGAGGGTCTTAAGTTCTGTGCTATAGAATTGGGCTTTGCTCTGCAGGTTGTGGATGACAGCGCCAGGTACTGGATAGAAAATCAATACCTTAATTGCCCCTAACTACTAATGCTGTGCACTGCTGTGTGCCCTGGACCTACATTTAAATTTATATTCGTAAGCAGCACATATTAAAGAGTCAGTCACTAAAAACCATTAGTTGCTGGGGATTCTGGAGAGAGAGACTCTAACAGTTGATAGTATTGTGGTCCAAAGTCTGGTGTTGAGTTGTCCCGCCAGGAGCCAGCCTCGGTCCTGTGTCACAGATCCTACTTCACTCTCAACATAAGCTGAAAGATGCCGCTTTCTAGAATTGAGATTGGAGAGAAGAGAGGTAGGATCTGCCGTCATCCCAACCTGGGTCTGGTTAGAGGGCAGTGGGGTTGGCTCTAGGGCCCACTTCTTCTCAAAACGGATTCTATAGGTTAGTAGAGAAAGGAAAGAGAAGAAAACAAGAGAGAAATTAGGCAACCTGAAGTCTAGAAAAATTCGAGGCTTTCAAATCTCAAGATTTTCATTTTCTAGTCATTCTTCCTTGAGACAGTAAGGTCCAAAATTCATCAATATTTGCCAAGAAAAGAAATGGGTGTCTTTTAATACACAGCCATGCCTCACTTAACAATGGGGATACCTTTTGAGGAATGCATTGTTAGGTGATTTTTGTCATTGTGCAAACATCACAGAGTGTACTTATCCAAACCTAGAAAGTAGAGCTGGCACACCCAGGCTATATCATATGGCCTATTATTATTGTTCCTAGGCTACAAACCTGTGCAGCGTGTGACTGTACTGAATGCTACAAGCAATTCTAGCACAATGGTAAGTATCCGTGTATCTAAATGTAGAACAGGTGCAGTAAAAATACGGCATTATAACCTTGTGGGACCACTGTCATATATGTGATCAGTTACTGACCAAAAATGTCATTATACAGAGTATAATTGTATTTCAAACTTACATATAACCTGCTTTTGAATTAAATCATTTTAAAATTATTTCTATGTTACATGCTTCTTATAAGTGTGAATAGTCCAAGTTGATAAATGTATTCTGATTTCATACTATGAACAGGAAGTGGGGGAGGGCAGGAGGTTCTTTAATATTTCTGAACCCACATATTCGTCTGTTGTGCCAGTGACAGAAGTTGGGGAATCCTATGGTCTCTACTTCAGGGGATTTCATGTAGAAATATAAATCTACCAGTGAAAATGAACAGGTTTCATTTACTAAGTCTACTAAGATCTACTAAGGGTCTACTAAGATCATAGATGTTGATTTTATTGTCAAAGATTACAAAAAGAAATCATAAGAAGAAATGTTCCAGCACAGACACACAAGACCATTTAGATAA